AGGCGCCATGCGAACTTCCCTGGGGAGAGCATTCCACAAACGGGGAGCCACTGCAGAGAAGGCCCCCGTTCTCATGTTGCCACCCTCTGGACCTCTCGAGGAGACACACAAACGAGGGCCTCAGAAGATGATCTCAGGATCCGGGTAGGTTCATATGGAAAGAGGCGGTCCTTGAGGTATTGCGGTCCTAACTTCAAAAAAATTTAGACATATAGTCTACAGGGGTTTAGTACTACCCCGTCCCAATGTACAGTTAGCCGAGTGCTCGATCCTGTCAATTCTTGTGCTCCTATTTGGCCTACTCTATGAAGCTTTTTTAAAAGAAAAACAAATTGATTGAAGAGTTCGACTCCATCTCCCAGGCAGCTAATTCAAAGGAAGACAGACACCTTAGCCAGGTGGGCACTGAGAGCATCTCATAATTGCAGAGTTGAATTACTACACTGAAAGGCAGGCAGGTGGGCAGGCAGAGGATAAGCTGGCAACGGAGTCCTAGGAAGACAGTCTTGCCAGGCAGGCATAATGAATCTCCTTAGCAGTGGGGAACATGATGCTTGTGGGGGCACAGAACGCCTTCTGAGTTCAGAGTGGAAGCACTGTTTTTAAAGGCAGCCAGGTAGGTAGGTAGGCAGCAGCAGTGGGCAGGCGACAGGAAGAAGCTGCAGTGTGAGAGCGCCACTCTTGTGGTGGCCAGATCTGGGTATCCCAGCAGCAAGAAGTGTCCCTTCAAGAGCACTAGGTAAAAGGGTAAAGGACCCCTGGACGGTTAAGTCCAGGCAAAGGCGACTATGGGGTTGCGGCACTCATCTCACTTTTAGACCGAGGGAGCCGGCATTGTCCGCAGACAGTTTTCCAGGTCATGCGGCCAGCGTGACTAAACTGCTTCTGGTGCAATGGAACACCGTGACGGAAACCAGAGCGCACAGAAATGTCGTTTACCTTCCCACTGGTGTGGTACCTATTTATCTACTTGCACTTTGACGTGCTTTCGAACTGCTAGGTTGGCAGGAGCTGGGACTGAGCAATGGGAGCTCACCCCATCGCGGGGATTCAAACCGCTGACCTTCTAATCTGCAAGCCCAAGAGGCTCAGTGGTTTAGACCGCAGCGCCACCCCTGTCCCACTACCTCTCCACTAACTCAGCATCCAAGCTGGTGCGGTCGGGTGTAATTACGTGGGGGAAATGGCCAAATACTGCAAAAGAATCATATGCATTTATATATTTATTTATAGCCTGCCATTTTGGCTTACATAACCATAAAGCATATATACATTTAGTGGGAAATCCAAATATTCTAAGACAGCTTCAATACACAAATCTTCCCTTTTTAAAAATCAATATACAGTGGTACCTCAGGTTACGCTTCATGTTACATATGCTTCAGGTTACAGACTCCGCTAACCCAGAAATAGTACCTCGGGTTAAGAACTTTGCTTCGGATGAGAACAGAAATCGTGCTCCAGCGGCGCAGCGGCAGCAGGAGGCCCCATTAGCTAAAGTGGTGCTTCAGGTTAATAACAGTTTCAGGTTAAGAACGGACCTCCGGAACGAATTGAGTACTTAACCCGAGGTACCACTGTATGTTGAAAATTAACAGAATGAATATTGTTGAGCAAAATTCCACCCTTTTATATGAAAACCAGGAAGCAAAATTTAAAGGCAAGCTAAGCTATACTTCATTGGAAGAGGTACAATTTAACATATATATATTTTTTAAAAAACATCATGTACGCTTAAATATGCAAATTTCATTGAAGCAATGCTGGGATGAATGAAGGAAGCACAACACTGAAAGCTTCAGCTATCCAAGTGTCAGACTAAATATACGGACTTACATTTTTGTTTCAGTGTAAATTGCAAAAACAAACTGAGATATTAAAACCTGGTTTTATTAGAAAACTACCTCGTCCTTTAAGAATGTATTAAATCAGAATTTATTCCCATTAAGTAAAAATAATTTATTTGGTGTAAGCCAAACAGAGAAGAGAAACACTGTTTAAAAATTGCCTAAGGTCACTTCATGGGCAAAACAATGCATTTAAAGTGAGGAGATGACAACTTATTTAATATTTCTCTACTGAAATTGCTTCCTTGATTACAATACATTAAAATCCTCATTGAATATTCATAGAATTTTTGACAAGACTGAGTGACATATAATCTTAGCCTCAGAAAGCAATAGCGTGATATTCTAACCGTTGGAATAGATGCCAGACTAACTGGATCGTCATCTTTGCATTCCTGGCTGGGCCAGCGGAAGCTGTACAAAATGTTCCTCCTTTTCCTATCATGACAACATATTACAGGCATAACACAAAGGAACCAAGCCCTGTCTAAACACCTTTCTAAGTTACTGTGCGAAAGACAAAAGAGAAATCATGCAACCTTTGTATGTGCAATATGCTCAACGAGAATAATTAGTGAGACAAAATTAATAACTGGATAAATCTCAAAAGGACTTTTACCTACTGAGTTACAATCTATCTAGCCTTAATAGGAAACAGCATTTATATCGCACGAAATATGCAACTTTGTTATACAATCGGTTGTCATTAACCACATCAAATGCACTTGCTGTCTTCCTGTATAAGTGCAGATAAATGCCGGAGAGTTTTGTTAAACGAGAGCAATTAATACTTCTTTGTTCAGCGACTTCTGTGCTTAGATGCACATCTTTTTTCTGCTAAATTAAAAATTAAATCTACGTCACTATTATTTTTTGTTGTTTTCTTACATCTAGATGTTTTATTCACTAGGCAAGTCAAAAGCAAATGGTTGGTGGTTGCCTACATTACGAGTTATGATTAGATAACTCAATGTCCTACGGATTGTGCTTTGCTACTCTGCTCCACTACACATACAGAAACAATCCTACACTCTTGGGCTTCTGAAGATACAGTGTTCATTCCACAAGAAAAAACAAAAGAGGAAGTTCCATGCGTCGCTAGGTATGGACAAATCTATCCCAATCTATCTCATTCTCCTTCTGGCTATAGACATCTTAAGGCAGGAGTCAGCAACCTTTTTCAGCCGTGGGCCGGTCCACCGTCCCTCAGACCATGTGGCGAGCCAGACTATATTTGGGGGGGGGGGATTGAACAAATTCCTATGCCCCACAAATAACCCAGAGATGCATTTTAAATAAAAGCACACATTCTACTCATGTAAAAACACCAGGCAGGCCCCACAAATAACCCAGAAATGTATTTTAAATAAAAGGACACATTCTACTCATGTAAAAACATGCTGATTCCTGGACCGTCCGCGGGCCGGATTTAGAAGGCGATTGGGCCGCATCCGGCCCCCGGGCCTTAGGTTGTCTACCCCTGTCTTAAGGTATTTTTCACTCTATAGGACGCACCGGACCATAGGAGGGGGAGAACAGGGGGAAAAAATTCTCCCCCTCTCTGCTCAGTGCCCCTTCAGTGAAGCGGGAGGAAAAACGGAGCCCCTTCCATTTCTCCTCCCGCTTCGCTGAAAGGGCGCTGCGCAGAGGGAAAACTGTGCAGCGCCTCTCCAGTGAAGTGAAGCCTGGAGAGCAAGAGAGATCGGTGTGCACCGACCCCTCTCGCTCTTCAGGCGGCTATCCGCAAGCCTTCGGAGTGCAGTGGGAACTCCTGCTGCGCTCCGAAGGCTTGCGGATAGCTGCCTGAAGCCCCTGGAGCACAGCGGGAGTTCCCTGCGCTCTGGGGGCTTCAGGCAGCTTTAGCGAAAGCAACGCGAAGCCTCCAGAGCGCGGGGGGAGCTCTCCCTCTGCGCTTCAGAGGCTTCGTGTTGGTATCGCTGAAGCAAAGGAGCCTGCATTTGCTCCATAGGACGCACACACATTTCCCCTTCATTTTTGGAGGGGAAAAAGTGCGTCCTATAGAGCGAAAAATACGGTATGTCCTGCTTCATTCTTGAGCAGATTTTAAACAATTTCTTAGAAGCGTGAATCAGGTTGTCTCTCATAAAGATTTGAATTGAACTGAACTTTCCCCCCACACTCTCCCTAACAACAGGTCACAGGAATATCAGATCACTGGTCCATATCTAGCTCAGCATCTATACTAACAGCAGCCCACCATAGTTTCTGAGTTTGAACATTCACAGCCATACCTGGAGATACTGGTGACTGAACGTTAGATCTTCCGCATCCAAAGCAGAGGCAGTGTTGTGCAGTGATAGTCTTGGACCAAGCCAGGGTCCACTCAGCCATGAAAACCAAATGGGTAACCTTGAGCCAAGCAGCCACTCACAGCCTCAATGGGTACCTCAGTGGGTTGCCACCTTGAATTGGACTTAGATGGGCTACTGGTTTGACCCAGCAGGCAACTATATTTTTAATTGATACAAAAATTCCTGGTCTCAGAATTGGGGCAGATACCTGCATAGCGTTGATATGTAGCTTCTCAAAATCACCACCATGAAACACCTTTCTGTATAAAACAAAGAAGTACGTTAATCATAATGTTGTACCACGTTGTCCAAAAAAATGTACCGGTGCTTTTCTACGCAGATGTATTATTTTGTTTTTTGTTTCTGAAAAAACTCGGATGATTTAAAACTTCTACCTGTGGACTCACTTTCCCCATACAGTGGTACCTCGGTGTGATGGGATGATGAGCTGCTTGTGCGTAAAATCGTATCCCCTCAGAGTTTGTTCAAGTCCACAAACCTCTGTCTGTGACGGAGCCCCTCAGACATGGCTCCTCTAGTCACTAGCAGATTCCGACAGTGGTTGCTTTCGTAATCGCTTCCAACATAAAAGCTCCTTAACGGAAACACGTCTTCTGGACCCTCTGCGTGTCAGTTTCCGGCGAGGAGTGGGTGTCCCTACAGGAGGTCCTGAAACCTCCCCACTGTTTTCGCTGGAAGTGTCTCTGAGCCATCCCTCCAGCTCACTTTCCCTCCGCTCAGCTCCTCTCCCCCTACTGGTTCCCTCTTCAGCTGCTGAGTCTCTCCCAACCTGTGTGAGCCCTTTCACCTCCCTTCCGTCCGATGGCAGTTCCCTGACATCCACCTCCCCTCCAGGGCCCCCTTCACCCCCTCTCGCCCCTCCTCTACGGGCGGTGAGGAGGCAAAACCCGGAATGAACTTCCTTCATCTTCCGATGTCTCGAACACTTCTCTCCACCTGTTGCGGTTCCTGATCTCGAAGTACTCCTCCTCCTCAGAGTCCATCTCCCCTTCCCCTTCCGAGTCCGGGAAGCCTTCCAACTCCTCCTCCTCATCAGTGGTCCCAAAGTATTCCCTCCGGAACCTCTCCACAGGCTGAGGTTTCCTTGGGAACCTTTGATGGAACGTTTCTATCAATACCTCGTCATTGATATCTTCGGCCATTACCCAAGTGTTTTCTGACTCCGGTTCTCCTTCCCACGCTACCAAATACTCCACCTGATTCCCCTTCCACCTGGCGTCGAGGATTTCTGCCACATGGCTGCTGCATTCTCTTTCTTCTATGACCGGTCCCCGAGTGGCCATCCCTTCTCGTCCCCCTTTGTACGGTGACAATAACGACCTGTGAAATACTGGGTGCAGTTTCATGTGGTTGGGTAACCGGAGCCTGAAAGCCACTGGGTTGACCTGTTGAATGACCTCAAAGGGACCCAACCTCCTGGGTCTTAATTTCTTACAACCTCCTTTGAACGGCAACCCTTGGGTTGACAGCCACACCCTATCTCCCACCCTTATGGTTTCACCTTCCCTTCGGTTCTTGTCTGCTTGCCTCTTGTATTCTTCCTTCGCCCTTTCTAAGTTGAGTTGGAGCTGACAATGGATTGCTTCCATTTCTTCTACAAAATGCTCGGCTGCCGGGACGCTCCATCTCTCCCCATCTCCCCTGGGAAAGCCCTGGGATGACACCCATAATTAGCCAAGAAGGGGCTCATCCCTGTGGACACATTCTCGGCATTGTTGTAGGCAAATTCCGCCAGCGCCAACTTTTCTACCCAGTCATTCTCTCTGTCATTGACATAACACCTCAGGTATTGCTGGAGGACACCGTTTGCTCTTTCCGACTGACCGTTGGTTTCAGTGTTCCGGGCAGTCGAAAAATTGACCTCCACCTGCAGTAAGCTCATGAGCTTCCTCCAGAACCTGGAAGTAAATTGTTTTCCTCGGTCTGAGACCACTCTCAATGGCACCCCGTGCAACCTAAAAATGTGTTCTACAAATAACTTCGCTGTCTCTTCCGCCGTGACTGCATGCGAGCAAGCTACAAAGTGGCACATCTTTGTTAGTAGGTCCACCACCACCATGATGGCTGTTTTCCCTTTGGACTTCGGCAGATCAGTCATAAAATCTATCGACACTGCCTCCCAAGGTCGTTCTGGGGTTGGTAAGGGTTCTAATAGCCCCGCCGGCACCCGCCTTTCCCCTTTGGCTCGCTGGCATTGCTCGCACCCTCTTACATACTCACGTACATCTTCCCTCACCTTGGGCCACCAAAATTCCCTGGTGACCAACCACATGGTTTTGTGTTGTCCAAAATGCCCCGCCGTAGGGCTGTCGTGCAACTGCTTGAGTACCCTCCCCTTAAGTCTCCTTCAGGGATATACAGTGCCCCTTTGTAATACAAAGCTCCATTTCTTTCCTCGAACCCCCTGGTTCCTCTCCCTCACCCCTAAGACCTCTGAGCTTATTCTGGGCGTATTCATCATTCTCTGTTTCCTCTACCAGTTCTCTTTGTCCCACCAATGCCGCCCCACACACCCAGCGGTCCTCTGGAATGACATGTCTCTCTTCGGGTGCTCCCTCCCCTCCAAATATTCAGGTTTGCGTGAGAGAGCGTCCGCCCTAATGTTCTCTGGGCCTGGCACGTAACAAATCTCAAAGTTAAATTTGGAGAACTCCTGGGCCCATCTCACTTGCCGTTGGTTGAGCACTCGTGCCGTCCTCCAATACTCTAGGTTCTTGTGGTCAGTGCACACTTGCACCTTATGTTGTGCGCCAATTAGCAGGTGCCTCCATCTCCGGAACGCCTCATGAATGGCTAGTAGTTCTCGGTCATACACCGTGTAGTTCCTCTCGGATTTGTTCAGCTTTCGTGAAAAAAAGGCACACGGTCTCCACTCTGACTCCTCCTTGCCTGGCTGCAGAAGCACCGCCCCAATCGCTCTGTCTGATGCGTCAGTTTCCACTCTCATCGGTTTTTGTAAATCCACATGCAGGAGTTGTTGTTCCGAGGCGAAGGCCCTTTTAGTTCCTCAAATGCTCGCTCCGCCTCCTCAGTCCAAACGAACTTCTTCTTACTGCTGAGACAGTCCGTAATGGGCGCCGTCAGGTGGGCAAAGTTTCGGATGAACTTACGATAGAAGTTCCCAAATCCTAGGAACCTCTGCACATCCTTCCTTGTTTTGGGTGTTTTCCATTCCAGCACCGCCTGGACCTTGCCGGGATCCATGGCCAATCCCTTGTCTGACAGGCGATACCCCAGGAATTCCACCTCCTTGGTATGAAACTGACACTTCTCCAGTTTCACCCACAGCTGGTTGGCTTGCAGCCTGCTCAACACTTCTCTGACGTCTCTCACATGCTGCTCCTCATTCTCAGAATACACCAACACGTCGTCTAAAAAGGCCACACAATTCTTGTAAAGCAAAGGCCCCAGGACGTGGTTCATAAACGATTGAAAGGTTGCGGAGCCTGCTTGTAGGCCGAAGGGCATAACCAAATATTCAAATGCCCCTAAAGGGGTGAACATGGTGGTTTTCCATTCATCCCCCTTCCTTATTCGTACCAGGTTGTACGCCCCCCTTAGGTCCAGCTTTGTGAAAATCTTTCCCTTCCGCGCCCTTGTCAAAATGTCGTCAATCCTGGGCATAGGGAAGGCCACTGGTTCTGACACTGCATTTAAGGCCCTGAAGTCACACACCAGCCTCGGCTTGTTCGTGTTTTTTATCCACAAAAACACTGGGCTGCCCCCACCGCCCTGGACTCTCTGATGAACCCTCTCTTCAGGTTCTTGTCAATGAACTCTCTTAGCTCCTGCATCTCTCTGTCTGACATGGCGTACAGCTTGCCTACAGGGAGCTGTGCCCCAGGGAGTAAATTGATTTGACAGTCAAAGGGTCTATGCGGGGTAGTTGGTCAGCTTCCCTTTCGCTGAAGACGTCACGGAGATCTGCATATTGTCGTGGTACCTTCACGTTCTCCGTTACTTCAGTCCCTGCTAGGGTGGCTTGGGCCCCTGCCAAACCCTTTCCCTCTTTGCAGTGTTCTAAGCAATGTGCTGAACCAAAAGAAACCACTCTCTGATGCCAGCCCACCAGCGGATCATGTAACGCTAGCCAGCTCATCCCCAATATAATGGGAGCTCCTCCCAAGGTGGCCACATTAAAAGCTATCAGTTCGGTGTGCCTTGCTACCTTCATTATCATTGGGACGGTCTGCAAGCTGACTTCTCCTCCCAACAGCTCCCTGCCATCGATCGTGGTCACCTGCAGGGGGTTGCTTAAAGGGATCGTCTGTATCTGGTGTTCAGCTGCAAACTCTTTGCTCATGAAATTGCAGGAGCTGCCTGAGTCCAACAGCGCCTTTATCTTTAGAGGGTGTCCGTTTGGCAGCTCTAGCGTCACTTCTATCACTAGGGCGGGTTTAGGAGGTTCTGGCGTGGGCACTCTCACTGCTCTTTGGCCTGGCTGCTGTGCCCCGACAGTGGCAGCCAGGCGTTGGCTTTTACTTGCTCCGGTATTTCTTCCTCTCTTCCCTCCACAGCTCCTACCATCCCTTGCCATTCCTTCCTCTGGGGGCAGACTCTGGCAAAGTGACCTGGCTGTTGGCAGAGATAGCATTTCCGGGCGCCTTTTCCTCCTTCTTTCCCCCTCACTGGGCTTTGAAACTGCGCGCGCGCGCGCTGTTCCGATTTCCATCGGCTCTGCCGGCGGGAAAGTTGGCTCTGGAATGTCTGGAATGCGGAACTCCTTCCAACGTTCCCCTTTCCCTTCCCGCCTCTCCAATGCTCTCGCCTCCTGGCGCGCTCCTATGGTCAGCGCTGATTTGGTCAGCTGGTCCATAGACTCCGCCCTGGGCGCCCGGGAAAGTTCGTCTTTCACAGCCGAAGAAAGCCCTTCTTCAAAGAGCATTTGAATGGGTTCCGCCGATAAGTCCCACCCCAATCTGTGCACCAGCATGGTGAACTCAGTCCAGTACTCACGGACAGATCGGCTCCCCTGTTTGCAAGCCATTAACTGTCTGCGCACCACTCCCTGTTCAATATCGCTGGAAAACATCAGATCCATGGCGCGAAAGAACTTCATCGTGTCCTTTAGGACGTCACTATTCGCTGCCATCAGGGGTCTAACCCAGTCTCTCGCCCCCTTTTCAAGCTGCTCAATCACGAAAGCCACTCGTGATTCCTCGTCAGGGAATTCATCAAACTGCAGATTGAGGGCATATTGCATCTCTGTCCGAAAGCCATGATAGTCTTTGGGCTCCCCCCCAAACTTCTGCACCAATCCTGGTACCTTTCTGGCGAGCTGGGTGGCTTCCCCTTTTTGTCTGCATCCTGAGCCCTCCTCTCCTCAAGCCTCGCCGTCTGCATCGCTAGCTGGACCTCCAACACCCGGTACCTTTCTTCCAGGCTTGGACCCGCTCCAGCTCCTGCTTCTCCGGTTCCGGCTGGGTTGCTCATGATGCCTTCTCCTGCACAAGCTGCTTTCAAAGACTGTCGGAATGCTGTGATGGGATGATGAGCTGCTTGTGCGTAAAATCGTATCCCCTCAGAGTTTGTTCAAGTCCACAAACCTCTGTCTGTGACGGAGCCCTCAGACATGGCTCCTCTAGTCACTAGCAGATTCCGACAGTGGTTGCTTTCGTAATCGCTTCCAACATAAAAGCTCCTTAACGGAAACACGTCTTCTGGACCCTCTGCGTGTCAGTTTCCGGCGAGGAGTGGGTGTCCCTACAGGAGGTCCTGAAACCTCCCCACTGTTTTCGCTGGAAGTGTCTCTGAGCCATCCCTCCAGCTCACTTTCCCTCCGCTCAGCTCCTCTCCCCCTACTGGTTCCCTCTTCAGCTGCTGAGTCTCTCCCAACCTGTGTGAGCCCTTTCACCTCCCTTCCGTCCGATGGCAGTTCCCTGACACTCGGGTTAAGAACTTAATTCGTTCCGGAGATCTGTTCTTAACCTGAAACTGTTCTTAACCTGAGGCACCACTTTAGCTAATGGGGCCTCCTGCTGCCGCCGATTCCTGTTCTCATCCTGAAGCAAAGTTCTTAACCTGAGGTACTATTTCTGGGTTAGTGGAGTATGTAACCTGAAGCGTCTGTAACCCGAGGTACCACTGTAGTTATTTTCATGCTTTTATTTAAACCCTTCTTTACATCTTTGTTTACATTTCCCCCACTCTGCTGATTTTTTAAGTACCTCATCATTGGTGACCGCTACAAGCTGTGACCTCCATGTTCTTTCTCTTTTTGCCACATAATATTTTATTAAAGCTTTTTCATAATACAGTAAGATGAAAGAAACCAATCTAAATAAAAACAAAACCAAAGAAAGAAAGAGAAAATCAAATGCAGAGTCCTCTCTCAAAAGAACCTCTTAACCCTTGTCTCACACAGAAAGTGGGAGACCCTCCCAGTTCTCACCTGGGAGATTTCTTTCTTCTCTCATTCTCTCACCTTGGATGGTCTTTCCTGCCCTGCCTCTCACTTAAGAGTTCGGCCAGCAACCATCCACTACCTTTGTGTGTGTGTGTGTGTGTGTGTGTGTGTGTAATCCTTGGACGCCAATAAACCCAAAGCAGAGGACACCAAATAAAAAGAAAAATAAGAAAAGGAAAAGAAAAGAAAGGAGAAAGAAAAGGGGGGAAAGAAAAGAAAGAAAAATAGAGGACTTCTGATTTTCCCTCTGTCAGTTACGTAAATAAAATTATTCAAAACATCCAGTCTAGGGTGACATCCTACTGTTCTATTTTCTGTTAAGCAATATTTTCTCAATCTTCAGACCCAAATTTCTCAAATTTGTTTGTTTTCCTTTTCACACAAAATGTCCAAAGGGGTTCTCTAATTATTGTAATAAATGTCAGCAATGGTTTTTCTCTAATCAAACATCTCAAATTTGCCTCCAATAACTTCAACAACCATGAAGAGGGGTGGTAATTAAGGAAATGCAGCACAACCAAGGATTAATTAAGAACCCATGGAGGGAGGTGCGGGGGAGCCGAAGAATGTAGGATAAATGAAGATAACTGGAAAGTGGATGTCTCAAATTATTAAAAATATATAAATACTGTACTGAAGTTCTCACCCTGGGCCAGCAGGGGGATACTGTAGATAGTTATGCAAATGAAGGATGGAAAGTGATGTTCAGTGATTGGATAGTTTTAGAAAGTTGCTACAGTAACGTTGTACTGGAGCTCTATATAAGCAGGCTGACTGAGCCCTTCAGTTCAGTTCTGTTCTGGCCTCTGAATAAACAAGAGCTGTTTGAAGAATCACTGTGTCATCTGATATGTTCACCCACAACTTAACAAATACTTTTAAAAATAAAATCAACAAGCATTCCTCCATCTTACATAATAATAAATGTTTCTGTCTTTGTCCATATAAGAGTCTCTCAGCTGTGATCCTGTACTGAGATATTATTCCATAGTACTTTTCTTGTTATGTATCCATTAATTTGCATCTCTTGGAGTAGCCATGGTGCTGGGAAAAGTGCCTCTCCTGTGCAAAAGGAATAAAAGGAAAGAAAGGTTGACCCACTGAGCATTACCCCTAAAGAAAATTTAGGAACAATGGTTTTCAGTAATAATAATTGCAAAGCAGATTTGAAAAAAGAAAGAAAGACAAACTATTGCTTACCTGGTCCAGGGAGAGCAGAATAAGAAGCAATTGCTTCAATATCACCTTCCTCTTAGTTTACAGTTAAACATTAGGAAAAACGCTCCTAAGGACCTGCTCAGCATCTAATTTTAACAGGGCCTTTCTTTTCAACTGGGCAAGGGCTAAGGGGTCAAAAAACATTGACTTTGCCTGCTGAGTCACTGCCAGGCAAGTAGAGACACAGGCCTTAATTTGCTGTTGAGGGGTTTCAAAAAGGGAAAGTATTGTTCAATGATGTTTGTTGTGGACATTGCTTATATTTCTTTAGGGATATTTATATACCACCTGTCATGCTCACATTTCTAGGTGGTGTACAACAATGAAATACACAATACAAAATATACAATATCATTAAAAATTATTGAGTAAACCTGCTACAGAGACCTAGCAATCTGTAATTTGCAAAATTCCTCATGATTAACATCTGTATTTGGTTAAACATATAACCACATTGTACAAATAAAACAGCAACACAACGGTAAGCACTTTATGAATCAAAAGCCACAAAATGAACTTTGCTGAACAAACAAATGTTCTTATTCCTCCTGTCTTGTGTTCATTAAATCTGACAGGAAATCAAATATCACCATCTGTGTACTTGCAATAAAAACACTGAAAACAGCTCTAAACTAGTAAGAGAAACACAGAAGTGCAGACTTAACTTTTATTTGCAAATGAACAAAAAAAAAAAGCTCAGTTTTACATAAGAATAGTATTAGAATTGTAGAGTTGGAAGTGACCCCTAGGATCATTTGGTCCATCCCTCTGCAAGGCAGGAATCTCAACTAAAGCATCTGTTAAGTTGTGGATGAACGTATCGGACGACACAGCGATTTTTCAAACAGCTCTTGTTTATTCACAGGCCAGAACAGAACTGAACTGAAGGGTTCAGCCAGCCTGCTTATATAGAGCTCCACTAGAACGCAACAGTAACCATTTTCTGTAACTATCCAATCACTGAACGTCACTTTCGATCCCTTATTTGCATATGTGGAGCTGAACTATCTACAGTATCCCCCTGCTGGCCCAGGGTGAGAACTTCAGTACATAACAGCATCCATGACAGATGATATCCAACCTCTGCTTAAAAACCTCCAAGAAAGGAATCTAATACCTTCCAATGGAGTCCGTTCTACTGTCAAACAACTCTTTATCATCAGAAAAATCTTCCTTTCTTTTAAAGCCATTAGTTTAGTTCCTACCCTCCAGAGCAGGAGAAAACAAGCTTGCTCCATCTTCCATGTGACAGAGCTTGAGATACGGTCATACCTCGGGTTACGAATGCTGTGGGTTGCTCGTTTTCGGGTTGTGAACAGTGTAGAACCCGGAAGTACTGGAACGGGTTACTTCTGGGTTTTGGTGCTCACACATGCGTAGAAGCGCAAAATGACATCACGTGCATGCGCAGACGTGCCGAATCACGTCACGCGCATGCACAGACTCGGCGCTTGAGGCTACAAACGCTGCGGGTTGCGAACATGCCTCCCGCACAGATCACGTTCGCAACCGGAGGTATGACTGTAATTGAAGATGACCATCATATCTCCTCCCAGTCTCCTCTTTTCTAGGCTAAACTTACGCAGCTCCTTCAACCGTTCCTCATAAGGCTTGGTTTCCAGACCCTTGACCATCTCAGCGGTCATCCTCATCTGCACATGTTCCAGCTTGTCCATATCCTTTTTAAATTGTGGCACCCAGAACTGAACACAGGACTCCAGGTGCGGTCTGACCAAGGCAGAATAGAAGGGTGCCTGCAGACACGATAGTTTATGATGTACCGTATTTTTTGCCCTATGGGACGCACTTTTTCCCTTCCAAAAATGAAGGGGAAATGTGTGTGCATCCTATGGGGCGAATGCAGGCTTTCGCTGAAGCCTGGAGAGCGAGAGGGGTCAGTGCGCACCGACCCCACTCGCTGTCCAGGCTCCGGCAGGTCACCGCAAGCCTTGGGAGCCGGCGGGAGTTCCCGCCGGGCTCCCACGGCGCGCGGAGAGCTGCCTGCACTCCGAAGCCTGGGCGCGCTGAGCAGTCGCGCCCAGGTTTCGGGTAGCTCTGCGCAAGCCGCGGGAGCCCTCCCACAGCTTGCGCAGAGCTGCCTCTATCCCGAAGCCCAGGAGCGCTGAACAGTCGCGCCTGGGCTTCGGGTAGCTCTCTGCAAGCCGTGGGAGGGCTCCCACAGCTTGCGGAGAGCAGCCTGTTCTGGGGGCTGGGGTCGGGGGAAGCCCGGGCTTCCCCCGCCCCAGCCCCGTGCCTGCGGGAGAAATAATTTCCCCCCCTTTCTTTCCCCCCCCCAAAAACTAGGTGCGCCGTATGGGGCGAAAAATACGGTACTTTCCCATTCATCATTCACAATAGATGCAAATACATTTACAAATTTGATGCCTCTGTCATTATACTTATTTTTTTTATTTACTGTTGTCTGAGTTACATGAAACATCTCATAAGTATCTGAGGATCAAGGGCAAGGGCTCAAATCCGAACTGCTTTCCTTCAGAACATTTAAAGCCATAGAAAGCTATGCAATGTTTCTTGAATAGGGTCTCTGTTACCATGAAGCCTGAGTAATAATTTGTTTCTATCCCTCTCCTGCCAAAAGTGCCATGAACATCTGCTAACTCCTCATCCTCCTCATCCGTCAACACCTTGTCGCCGTCCTCCAACATACCATATTGTTTATTTGATCATGGTATTTTGAAAAATCCAGCACCATCTTTGCTTTAAAATGCTGGAGGCCTTCACAACAGAAGTCTCAATGTCTGTTTATGCCCAAACAACTTCAAAAAAATAATGTAAGAATAATTTGTGTGTAAAATTACTAAGCCTACTCTGTACTGATTTTTTTTTGGGGGGGGGGAGAGACAAAAAGCTGTCAGGAATATGATAGTCAACCAGGTTAGAACTTTTTTTATGTATGCTACAACAGCAGCAAGAATACTCATCGGAAAGTACTGGAAGACACAAGAATTACCCACGCGAGAAGAATGGCAGATGAAAGTGATGGACTACATGGAACTGGCTGAGATGACTGGCAGAATTCGAGACCAGGGAGAAGGGTCGATGGAAGAAGATTGGAAAAAATTTAGAATATATCTTCAAAAATATTGTAATATAAAAGACTGTTAGAAAGATGTTGGAAAAAGAAAATTAGGCCGTTTTGGTAGATATGATATAAAGGATTAAGCAAAAATGAGCTGATGAAATTGATGAAACAGATGATGTTTAACTATATTATTTTAAATTAAAATACGTAAATGAAAATAAGGCTAGAAGGATTTGCTGGAAATACGATTTGAACTAGAATACAAAATTGGGAGGTGAGAGGAGGTCATGGAAATAAGTAAAGGGAAAAAGTTATGTAAAGGTTTAATCTGTTTTTGTTTTATTTTAACCCAATGCATTTTTATATCTTTTGTTCTGTTTTCTTTTTACTATTTTATTGTTTAATTTTTTCTTGTTACTTTTTGCTTTGTTAAATTTTTTCTTTGTATTTTTGTATTGTTTTTTCTCTTTTGTAATTTTAAACTTGGAATAAATATCATTAAAAAAAA